TAGAGGGCAAATCTACTTGATACAATTGTGCAAGATAAGGTCTTGCATTTATATTCTAGAAGAATTTGGGGACAGACAAAAATAAAATACTTGGACACCTATATGTTAGGTGCGGTAATGCCTAACTTCTGTCTCCTGACTCCTGGAGTAGAATCCAGAATCTAGAGATTTAGGTTCTCATTCCTATTACTATTAATTTGTTTTTCTTAATGTGATATTTAAGCCGGTCATGCTTTTGAAAACAAGCAAAAGCAAAACTGAAATAATCCTGGGAGAAGGAGATAGAACCCAGGCTTTCCTTCTCCTGGATGAATGCCCTAATCATTAAGTTGCAGGTCATGCTGATTCTTGCTTGCTTTGAGTTTTGCATTCTTGGCTGTACAGTGGCCAAAGGAGGAATTGAGTGGTATTTGTCATCCCAGTCTATCTATAGTGTGGCATTTTCCTGGTACAAGTTGTGGGTTTGAACCCCTCAGGATGAGGAGGTCCTGGAACCCATGTCTCCAATATCTTAGATGTTGCTCTAGTTGCACATCACCACTAATGTGATGATGATATCCACATTAAAGGTGGGTCTCATCCCCATGTACATCTCCTGTTACATTTTAAAAAGCAAGTGCCTACAGCAGTATTTTGAGTGGTTTGATCTTGTGAGCGTCTCTACTGGATTAGGCTCCTCAGTGCATCTGGAGACTTCTTCACCTAATTTCTGAATTCCAGTGGGACTTAGGCAGGAGCTAGACTCCTACTTGGTTAGGCTGTCTGAGCATGGCAGGAACAGAGCAGAATTGCAAGTGTCTAGAGAATTGTCAGACAAACAGGGAGGCATCTGGTGTGTTCCAGCAGTAATTGCCCATTGAGCGGGGATTTTTGGATTGGGATTGTGGACATAAGCACCTAGATTCCAGCTACATCCTTTTCTAGGCTTTCTCTTTAGCATGAAGTAATATACATCTACTGCATATGCCACAACAATCAAAATGGATGTTTTTAAGGTAATTTAAGAAACAGAGGGAAGATATAAGATATTTTCTGCATGCAGGGTCACAATTTTTTTAGAAGTCTACTGGAGGTATATGCTATTTTTTATTTTGTATATAAACAGCTATATAACATGATGCACATCACTTTCTATAAAAAGAGACGTATTGTGTTCTCTCATGAAGACTTTATACTTTTTTTTGCTTAACTCCCATTTATCTGAAATAAAGAGTAAATAGAATAAAAAACGTGGTTACTCTGTGAATATGAAAACCTCATTAACTGTCAGTCAGGAGTGTAGTTTATGAGCCTGATAAGCAGATAGAGGTAATATTGTGGAGGATTAATAACTGTTCTGTAGGTTTGCCATAAAACTTGGGCAAATGACAATGAGATTCTTACTAGACATTAATTAAAGCAGAAAAGTCTTGAAGAGTGAGCCATTAGTTCAGAAACAAGATAGAACTACAAAATGTGTATATCCTTTTCCCTCCCTACTTTCCTCCTTCCCTTCCCTCCATAACTTCAAAGCTTGAATGAAAAAAGGTGAAACTTGTCAGTCTTTGAAGCAATTTAAATTATCCTTGTCAAATACTTTAACTTAATGTTACTGTTTGTTTAGTGGTAGTCACAGTCTTGTGAAGGGAATTTGTTTGGCCTAAATTCTATATAGAGAATGATTAATTCTTAGTTTTTTTTTTTAATTTTAGCTTCTGAAATGAACAAGCAGTCCATTTCCTGTTCTGGGCCATATGTGAGCTTGTTATTTACTTGTCTAAACAAAATCTACTTTGATTTTATAACGGTTGTCAGTATTGTTAGGAAACTAGTACATTGTATTCTAAATCGGAAAGGCACTTCGGCTAAAGCCTTTTTATCATGATTTGTAAAGTGTTTTAAACTTCCCTGAAGAAAAAACAACAAGTGATAACTTAGCTTGGTACTACTACACTGCATTTTATTTGAGGACCTTCTTGGTCTACCATACAGCTGAAAAAATATTACATGTTTTCTAATGTTTTTGGAAGTAGCTTAGTTTGCAAATGACTAAAAAAAAATTAGAATTCTGCCACTTTCAACTCTGCCCTTGATTATATGGACACTTTTTTTGTTTACTAAGTAGCATTCTGGAGTCTATCTATCTTTCTCTTTGGCATTTGTATTAAATATCACCATGTTATCTAGGCACCAATATGAATGATTAAAACTTGTCCCATGCCATTTGGCAGATTTAAACCTTCTATTTTAAAAATAAGGAATTAGGTTCTTTAATCACTACTCAAAATTTATTCTGAATTTTAAGGGAACTTTTCCAATCACTGGTTGCCACAATGCCTGTGGTTGGCAACAAGTGATAGACACACAAATATTTATTTGGGTGAAGTGTTAAATTGCATAAAGAAATAAAAATACATTAAGGAGTTTTTAATTTTGTTCCTAATTGAAAGAGTATCTTTGGGTTTGGAAAATATTATATGAGAGAAGCTTCACTAACAATTTTGGAGTCTGATATATTGGTTTAGCTAGACTTGGAAGACTGACTGTACATAACACTAGTGTAGCTTTTGGGGGGATGGGAGTAGGGGTGATTGAGGCACCAGTCCCTGGTGCTTTTTCAGGGAATGCCAGAATAGCAGCCCCAGAGAACCCATGCTGCAACTGCTGCAGTCTGTGTTGGAGGACCATGTGGCAAAGCAGGAGCAGCCTGTGCCACTGCTTCAGCCTGTGCAGGGAGAGAAATGCTTGCTGCATCAATGCAGCTGCAGTTGCCAAAATTTAAAGGACATCTGGTAAGTACAATGCAATGCAGTACTGGTGAGTACACGCAATGTAGTAGGTCAGAGCAACAGTTCATTTAGCCCAGTGTCCTGTCTCTGATAGTGGCATGGTGGATGCTTTAGAGGGAGCATGCTGAACCAGGTATATCTAGAGGAACTGTGCCTAGCTAATTAGCCTGCTTATCAACAGGGCTATTTTAGCATGAATTAGTGCCAGACTAAACTGACTGCTTCTTCTAGTACTTGAGATAAGTACTTTTCTGTGTGCTTGATTTCCTGTTCAGGATGTAGCTGTCCCCTGCTGAAGCTATGTGAGCCCAGGGATAATGTATTTCTCTAATGTGGGCACTAGCTTACAGATGTTTGGCTTGTTAGAACATGCGTATGTCAAAGCATGGCAAAGACCTTCTGCTTTTGTGCTGGGTATTTGGGTGAGAAAATGGAGCTTTAGTCAATCATAAAAGGAGATCTTTAGTGGGTTGGGGAATTGCTCACTCAACCAAATGTTTTTTCAGTTGTCATTTACAGTCTTTTGCCACTGTCTTTATTCCTCTGGGACAAACTTCCTTCCACCAGGAGTCAACATAACCAAACTCAGTCCATAAACAAAACACCTAAACAGGGTCTTCTCCCAAACCCTAAGAGAGTCCTCAGGCATTGTTTTGCTGCCACTCACCCACTCTTTCCCTCTGTCCCTCCAGCAACTGGAAAAGCTCTCAGTCTCACCACTGTACTCATGGTTCTCTGGGAGAGGACACTTTTGGCATGATCTACTGGGTCTAGCCTGAGCTCATCTGCCAACTCTCTCCCTCTCTGCTCTCACTTTCAGTTCCCTGGGACTTTTCTCTCAGCCTTACTTTGGCTCTCAACTCCCAACATTCCTCTGACCTGCTCTCAGTTACCTTCCCTGGGAGTCTGTGGCCAGCTAATTATCTCTCTCAGCTGGCCCAGTCCTCCTAGGCAGCCTGTAATCACTCCTAACTGCCTACAGCTTGGACTGTAGCCCTTGCAAGCCTGCACACTGTTCCCAGGATCCTTAAGCTAGCAGACTGCCACATTACTACAAGCTCCTTCCCTGTGAAAGCCATGTGATTAAATGGTAGGTATGGATTTATTAGGGAAAACATTTCTTCATGTTTCTGGCTCAGCTTTAGTTTAAAGCAGTTGTATGGATGGATGCTTCTCCTTTCAGTGATTGTCCATACATAATATAGACATTATGGACAATATGTTCAGGGTTGCAAATTACAGATCCTGTTGGTCACTTATGGTCTTTTGATCTCTGAAAAATATTTAAAGCTTCAGGCAAGGTGTATCCTCTGATGTTACAGAAGAATTTTCTTTGCTGATTTCTGAAAGACTATTGGTGATAAATACCAATCTTTAAGTTGTTCTTGATGTGGCAGATCTATTCCACAGCAAAGGTAGTAAGAAGAACCTAGTAGCTCTTGTGGTCTGGCTTCCTGGAAGCGGGGTGGGGGTTGAGGATTAAATTTTTCAGGGTCTAGGTTTATTCAGTTGTGCAAAGTAGGTTTCTTTGGTCTTGCCTTTGGGGTTGTACTTGCCCCCTAAAATGAAATGTTAGCCAACTAAGGTACTTTTTGCAGAGATGAATGTGACATCTTACAGTTTTTTCATTAGAGACCTTCTTAATTGCTAAAAAGAAGTGAAGATTAATTCACTTGCTTCAGTTACCAATTCAATGAAGTGTTCATATGTCCTGGATCTCGTTTTGGTAGCTTAGTTGAGAGATGCGAATCTACTTCCACTTCACTTACCCCTGTTTTCAAAAATCATTTGAATTTCTTCAGCTGTATGTTGGCTTGAGTAGCTGAACCAGTGGGAACTAGAAACTTGCTCTGCCTAGGAACTTTCTGATAAAAGAAAATTTTGTTAAAATTACTGGTTCATTGAACTTGAAAATATTTTGTTTATAATATGGTATCATAAAAAAATAGGTCTGGAAAATTCTTCCTAATATCTAACCTGTATCTCCCTTGTAATTTCAGCCCATCTTCTGTGCAAATGGAGAACCTCTTTATGACAACATTTTCTGTATTTGAAGATTGTTATCAAATCCCTGCTCAATCTTCTCTTCTCCAAACTAAATAATCTCAGTTCTTCCAAACCTTCTTCGTGTCTCATGTGTTCTAGACTTCTAATACTTTTTGCATTTTGCTTTCTGTTCAGACACAAACATTTTGGATTTTACATGGAGAGAGAAAAGCCAAACTTGTCAAGGTGCATATTCATTACTAGATATAATGGTCCCTCAATATAACCATGGCTATTTTGGGTAGACTTCTTGTCACATGATGGTGGGCCTCTTTAAAGTGAATCCAGGTGACAAAACAGGTGTTTCCCAGTTGGGCCTAATTAAGAAGGAGGATTGACATCTGGAACTAGTAGAGTTATAACAGAGAAAGCAGGAACTGGAATCTAGTTGGAAGTCTCTGTCAAGAGCTACAACAGTATCTTGAAAAAAGCCAAAGGAATTTGAGAGGAGTTTATCTTTCTGAAATGGAGGGCTAGAAAAGCAAAAGGCTTGAGGAGCACTGATGGGCATCAAGAACAGCACTTCTGTAAGCCAGAGAGGTAGAAACTAAGACTGAAGGCTAAATGGAACATCAGAAGGATTTGTCTGGTAATCTGTCCACTGCAGAAAACAGCAAGGAAAAGTGATGAACCGTCCCCTTATGAGGAAAGAACTCCCAATAGACAGACGTGAGAGTTCCTATTGGAAGCATTTTAGCAGGAAGGGTTTTACAGAAGAGGAGAAGAGCCTTAGGAAGTGACAGAAGCAGCAGTAGATGCTCTAAACTGGGGTATTAGTTGTCAGTGCTCTGTGCATGGGGATGCTTAAAGACTGTATGGAATAAATGGTCACTGTGCTGGGATTTTTAAGGACTATTTTTACCATATGTGATAAATCTTTTTAGATAAGTTTGATGTTCACCCAAAGAGCATTTGTGCAGCTCTGGGCACTTTTAAAAGTGCCTGGTGCTGTGGTGCATGCATTTGTATGAGCATCAAAAGCAGATTTTAATTTTTTTTTATTTTTGGGGGCAAAAGTGAAAACAATAGATTACACATTTTTAGTTCTGTTTATCTTTCTTTTGAATTGGTGAGAACTTGGCTGTACACAATAGATCCGGTAGGAAAAGTAGTTTTAGTTATAGTTTCTTGTTTTCTATGACAGTGTTTTTCAATCTAAAATTATTTATTAATTAATAAAATAAGTCCTCTTGGAAGAATTCACAATTGATTTGTGTATTGCCTGGAAGAAAGCCATGATTTTACTGAAACTGTTTGTGTCTGTCCAGGCTAAGGAAGAAGAATGAATGAGTAGGGATTTATTCATTCTGACACAAGGAGGGAGCAGCATTAAGAGCCAGTAAACAGGCCAGCAAAGAAGGGTGTCTGAGTTGGGACTCCAGGCTGGGAGAGGAGTAGGAAGCTTTGTATGCCTCAGGAACAAAGATTTGTGAGTGGTGGAGAGAAGTTCCACCTGGCTTGGACTTTGTAGTCTGGGCTCAGTTTGCTTGCTAGTTGACATGATTGTTTGGAGTAGTGAGCAGTGAACTGTTCTCAGCTGCTGAAAACATATAATTAGTGTATAGCAACATGAATGAGGTACCAACCAGAACATAGTGGTACCAGGATCCAACAAACAAGGGAGTTTGCCCCAGCCTCCTTTATAACCTGTTTTGCTGTAAGCTTGCTGATCAGGTAAGGGAGAAAGAAGGAGTTTCTAGGTAAGGGGTTGTCTACCAGGGGTATGCGTACCCCTAGGGGTACTTTGAAAAGTCATAGGGGATACATTTGGGCAGGTGGGGACAGCACATCCCAGAGTGTGGCAGTGGCATCTCCCCTGGCACATGTCCACATATTGCCTCTTACCCGAGGCAGGGGAATGCCATGTGCCTCCGGTCCCATATGGCCCACAGTGGCGCCTCCCCACCCCCACCACCAGCTTGCTCTCTTGACTGGCCATCAGGCTGCTGTGCTCAGCCAATAACTGATGGCAAGGAGGCACCCTTCTGTGGATGGATGTGGGGTACACTTGTTAAAAAAGGTTGAAAACCCCTCTTCTAGGATGTTGCAGCAGAAGAGGAAGAGGGATTTAGCAGAAGAAGAATCACTGAGACTCTCCATCTACGGAAGTTTTTAAGAATTGGTTAGACAAATGCTTGACTAGAGTGGTTTAGATGGTGGTGATCCTGCCTTCAATAGGGGGTTGGATGAGATGACCTCCGAAGGGCCCTCCCGACTCTTTTTTTTTTTTTCTTCTATAACTTTAGTAAAGCTTTCATGCCCCTTTTAAATATTCACCAATTAGGTAGTAATTTTATTCTGTAAGAGGAAATTGGACAGAAGTCTCCCTCTTGTGCTTTTGTAATCCTATGACCAACAACTATAAAATGAGCATGAGGAAGAATACATACTTCTCTGCATGTGGACTGTGAACACTAACTTCATGGTGTGCCCAGCTTTTGTGGGCTAGCCTTTGAGATCAGAAGTTGTTTGACCTCATTCCTTTGGCATGGCAGTAAGGGAACTATTAGCTGGATGTGAGATCTTAAGACCAATAGAGAAGATTTCCAAAAGTGACTGAGGATTTTGTTTTCCTTATGAAAAGCAATACGCTTATGGTGTCTTGAGTTAGGCCACCAAAATCATTAATCACTTTGCAAAATCTGTTCCTATATATTTTTGTTGGCTTACAAATCTAAATCTTAAGAAAACAATCTCCTTATTTTTTTGCTTTTAAGAAAAAGACTTAAGATTGCAACAAAGTTCATTTTATCTAGTTAATTATTCTTGAAACATCTTGGCCTGGCCATCTAAATTAGCCATTCTATTTAAACTGAATTTGAAATGCTGCCTCATTTTTATCTAGAACAGGTAAACCACTCTTACTGAGTTCAACCAGCCAACATATTAGCTCAGTCTTAGAAATGGTGGGGTATATGTTTCTTATTATCGGTAAAAGGATTGACATGAAACCAAAGTGAAATGTATTTGACCATTATGGGAGAAACAGCAACCAATTTTGGCTTGTCCTTTATCTTTAGACTTGAGTGGAAATCAGTTTTACTTTCAACAAATGTTTTTACACTGTTATGTAAGCCACTCTTTTAATCAGATTTTTACTTAAACTGTGGTTGCTTATGCACTGTCTCTCTTGGGAAATATTTAGATAGTGTTTATGCTGCATGCTATAACAGAATAGGTATATTCATTTAGTTCATATATACACACAATTGGTTCATATATGACCATGCACACACAGGATGCGTACAGATATTCAGGAAGTTTAGGGGGAGTTTAGATACAGTTTAGATAAAATGACTACCTGATCTAAGGTAAACTGAGATAGAGGGGCTAGTGAGTAGGAGCTTGGGGGGGGGCAAGCAGATTCTCAGGGGGGCCAGTGGCTCCCACGGGGGAATGGGGGTGGGGGCAGACAGAGTCTGTGGGATGGGCTAGGGACAGGTGGAGTTCATGGGGGTTTAGGGGGAACAAAGGGAGTTTGTAGGGAGGCAGCAAGGACTTATAACTGAAGCAACTGTAAGCAATGCTGTTTCTCTTTATACTGTGCTGCATTAGTAGTACATCACTACCAAAAGGAAAAATTAAGAATTGACCTAGAAATTTCTGCTTTTTTAGAGTTTTTGCAACCGAATGGCAAAAATTCAATTCATTTATTTTTTTCTGCAACTTTTATGCCGCCATATAACTGGATAATAAAGTTTCATTTTTTATTAGTTTTAAG